GTTAATTTTTACTAATATAGAAGTCACACATCCTAACTAGGACTGAGCAAGGAATCCGTAAAATCCGTAATCCAATCCAATCCAGTCCAGTCCAGTCCAGTAGGTTTGGATTGGTTTTTTGAATCCGTGGTTCAGTTCCGGATTGAAAAATTAAAAATCCGTAATTCACAGATTGGTTCCGGATTGAACCCCACAGTTCCGGATTGGAACCGATCTGGACTGTATACAAATAGTCTATATTTTTATTATACACCCTCCTGCATAGTATCTTCTCTTATTTCATGTAAAACTTAAATCCAAACCTAAACTTGCATAGTATCTTCTTTTATTATTTTTGTTTGCTAGTTTTTAGTGTTAATTTGTAATGGTCTAAATACTTATGGTAGAACTAGTTTTCTTATGGTTGTTTAAATTCTAGAACAGTTTGTCGCTATTAAGAAAAGACATGTTGCTATTGTGAAACTAATATGGTGCTATATTTATATTTTTATGAAATTAAAGTGTTATATATATATTTTTGTTATTTAATTATGTAAATCCGCGGTCCTAAACCGATTCAATCCGTATTTAAATGGATTGGTTCGGATTAGTTCCACGATTTAAACGAATTGGATTGGTTCCAATTTTTCAGAATTCGTAGATAACAGATTGGTCTTGGTTTTACTCTAATCCGGTCCAATCCGGACCATGCTCACCCCTAATCCTAACATTTACGTGGATAATCGCAATCAAATCCTACACAAAAATCGACAAAATCTTTCACCACCAATACAACAAACCCCCACTCAAATAGAACACATTTCTGAAGGCTTCCGTTAAATATCCTAAGCATCTACATCACCAATTAAATTTCCCTCCTACTAACATGGACATCTAACACAATCCACATCATTACTATACATACATACAACTGGAACAAACAAGGAACTTTTTTCGATATTGCAACAAAACAAAACAACCCATTTATTAATGACTCCATCATTGCACTCACACCAATATATGATAACAACAAACACATATCACTAGAAAACACCTACATAATTTCATGCACAATGTTACTGTAGAGGGTCAGAAATAAAAACCCCCAATTTAAGTATAGGCCTAAGTGTTGAGGTTGTCATTCTGAGGTGACTAAGAATGTAAAAGGAGCATGGGCTAAAGCCCAAGGAAAATGGGCCAACAGTGGGCCAAAGCAAGTCTGACCTGCCTAGGGTCCAAACAGACTCCACTAAGGAAAATGCCTAAGTCAAGTGGCTGATGCAACACTTCCAGCAGTCAAGTTGCAGAGGCAACACTTATAGTGGCCAAGTTGCAGAGGCACTTTGCCTTAGCGCCGCCATTCACAATATTGTCAGTTCCACCGTCCTCTGAAGTTACTGAGGGAAAGAAAGAGCCGAAGTAACTAAGTTGCGGAGGTAGCATTTCCGACGGCCAAGTTGCAGAGACACTTTATCTTATCACCGCCATTTCAAGTATTGCTGGTACCGCAGCCATCTGGAGTTGCTGAGGAAAAGAGAAAACCAAAGCAACTAAGTTGCAGAGGTAATATTTGCAGCTAGAGGTGTAACTTGGGCGGACTCAACCTGAGCAACTCGAGCCCAGCTCGAATTTTTTTAGGGCTTGGATAAAATATTTTCAAATTCAGTACAGGCTTGGGCAAAAATTCAAAAGCCGAATTAAATTTGGGCGGCTTGGGCAAAGACGTCAAACAACCTGAGTAACCCGAAATCCGAATTATACATATATAGATATATAAAAATATTAAATATACATATAAATGATTAGCTATTACATGATATTAAAGTAATTTATATTATTAAATCATATTGAATATTTATTATATATACAAATAACATAAAATCTTACTCTTTTTCTTTTTATTTTCACTCATAAATTGTAAGGACTACTATAGTGGCATCTCTCTTACATTATATAAATTATTTGTTTTGATGGTATTAATGATTTTCTATAAAAAAAATATATAAATAGAGTCAAATTTTAATAATTTAATAATGTAGCTACAAAAAAAAAAAAAATTGAAATTCCTTTACAATTCGGGCAACTCGGGTTTAACTCGGGTCGAGCTTGAGCAGACAACCTCGGGTTGCAATTTGGGTTTGGACAGGTCTCAGCACAACTTGGGCCGGGCTTGGACAACCTCTCAACCCGACCGAACCCGCCCGAGTTGCACCCCTACTTGCAGCCATCTGTTTTGTTGACTCTGCCATCTCTAATATTATCGGTTCTGCCATTTGAACTTGCCGTTGGAAATTATTGCCGTAGCAACTACAGCCGCCGCAACTAACATGCTGAGAGAACATCCCGCCAAGGTGACAGCAGCCTTTGGGAGAAGCTTCCCCTCTACAAATAGAGACTAATGCTTGGCACTAACAGCAAGCCCCAAAGCATTATTGGCCTAGGGCTGATAATAGGCCCCAAAGTTTATTAACTTAGCGCTGATAGCAGGCCCCAAGACTTACTGGTTGAAGCTGATAGCAGGCACAGAAATACCAGTTTATTGCGGTGATCTCGCAAAGATAGGAGCAGAGTAGCCCGAGTGTAAGGGACTCCCTTTCCATTACCCAGGTCTTGGACCTGCCTTAGTCACACAAGCAGGACTAAGGATGTGACACCGTGAACGTTTAGTTAAATACCACATAAATATTTATAGTTATATATAATTGTGAGTGTATGTGATAATATATTATTAAATAAATAATAGATACAGAATCTAATTTGGCATTGGGTTATCAAATATGGGATTAATTAGGGATTATTATTTGGGGCCAAATTAACAGAAATATGGTATTATGATACTAATTGGACCAAATTAAAGTTAAAGATAATAGATAAATAAATATAAAAGTAAGAGTAAATAAATAAATAATAATAATAATAATAATAATAATAATAGGTGTGGTAGTAAAATAAATAAATAATTTTCTGTGGGTATACGACAAAGTATAATTTAATTAGGGATTAATTTGTTTATATAGTTATATTAGGAAACAGGGCCAAAGTGTAATTATCTAAAATATTTATTAAGTTAAGTATTAATCTATGGTTATAATGAGCAAATCCAGGTGAGTTATGAAACAAATCCAAAGAAGAATTCGAGATCGGCCACGTGTTGGCCACAGGACGCTTTTGCTTCCCTATAAATGGAGAAGAATTGATCAATATCCGTGGAGTTACTGAGATCAGTGGGAAGAAAAGAAAAAGAAAAGAAAGAAAAGAAAAGAGAGGGAGAGGCATGTAAGTTACTGAAGTAGGTACTTATAGTAGGAAGGTTGTGATAGTGAAAGAAAGGCTAAGGATCAATATTAAGGTGAATTATATTATATCTTGAGTTACCATAATATATTTTACGTATGTTTTGACTTACCATAATTTATTTTATGCAAGTTATATTTTATAAATTATATTAATTCAAGTTATGTTTTAGAAATATTTCAGTTATATGAATTAATTTCTAAACTATATTTGTTTAAATAAAACCCATGGATATGTTTGTTTAAATTTTAAAAAATATTTGATTATAACCTTATAAACAATTATGTTTTGTAAGTACCACCATGGGAGTCCCAGGCCTTGAGGGACTTAAATAACCATTGATCTTTGTTTGGCCACTTCGTGGTCCTCTATTTGTCATAGATCCATTGACTTCTATTCTGATTGTCATTTCTGTGACCTCTGTTCTATTCTGTTTTGTACCGTGGTTATAGTTATTTATTTATATAATTTTTGTATTTTAGTTTCTGCCACTTAAATGATTTGTTTACTAAATTGAGTTATGTAAATGTTTTGGTTTAATTAACTATCCATGGTTATTTGTATTTCTTATACTCTTGGCATAATATTTCTCACTTTGCTGTGTGCTTTTTTGTTTTTCTTCTTCTTTTTTTTTTCTTTTTTTTTTTGCTCCCTTTTTGTTCTATTCGGGGCCAGTCACTAAATAATAAAATAATAAAATCCCTATAAATATATTTTCTCTTATTAAAATAGTAAAATAGAGTAATTTTCTGTTTAATTATTTTTTATTTTCGTTTGCGCAGTTTAATTTGCTACAAATAAAAAAGTTAGTAAGTTGCGATTCCAACCCTAAGCTCCTAGGATTGGGTTGTGACAAAGGAAGCCCCCTTGGGCTTGGTACTAAGGCACAACACGACTGCTAGCAGGCTTGGCTGTGGCTTTCGCCATGGGAAACTATGAAGTTTATGGTTAGATGGCTAAGGGTGGAGGTTTCGCTGAGGTGAACACGAACATAGCTAATAGTTGACTAATAGAGTGTTGAAAATGCATGTACTGGAAAAATAAAACTGAGAAGGCAAGTGCAGCGGTAAGATTTACTGTTGCAAGTGCACTTGTTGAGGTTCAGGCTGAAAAGGCAAGTGCAACGGTAAACGCTCCCACTAGAATTGCACTTGCTCTGGCTCAAAAGGGAGTTACAACGCCAAACACTCCCATCGCAACTACACTTGCTGAGGTTCAAAAAGGTAGTTGCGGAGGCAAACAGATAGTACACAGTACATGTAGAGAGAAACGTGGCACTTTTAGCCTGGTGGCTCAAGGCAGAATATTCTGTGTGATCTTTAGGGACACCTGTCTTCTCTCTATTTGGCCACTTGGTGTCCTCTTGATACCAAGGAAAAGCCTATAAATAGGACCCATTTCCCAAGGTTTATAAGAGGAATTTTTGGGATTTGGGGGGAGATGCTGCCTATTTGTGCACTGCCTTTGTCTTCTTCTTGAGCTACTTGCTTTACCCTCACCTAGCTACACACTCTCCAACTCCCAAACAGTTGTTATTGCTCATTCTCCAGCCTCTTCCACCACTCTTGGACCATTAACATAGTTTTACCTCTCTAATCACCTCCCTAACCTCGAACCCCCCTATAGTTACATTACCATAATTACAATCACAAACTGATATGTCCCAGTACATAACTTCACCCCAGCTCAATTATAACCCTACCAAACTAGTAACATCAAACAACGGGTAGGCCAAATAAAAACCCCTACACACCCATTACATATAGCCACACACTCAATACATGCTCCAACATTGCCAAACACTACCCCTTACGACGATGATGTACCATAAAACAGGGAAATGAAACATCACAGACCACATACCTGACACCATTGTTAACCAATACCCCACAATCACATTGGTCCAAATGCTCTTGATGATCCAACGCCAGTGTAGGCTAAGGGATTTTTTTGTATTTCTAGGGTTTCGGTGTCAAACCAAACGTTATTTCGCGTAACTATCACTGTTGAGTTGATATTACCATAAACGTTGCAATACGACCAATCTTCACCCTGAACATTGTTGGTTTCCAACCTTGGTTCATGAAGCTCGTGTGGTGGTCGACCACCCATTGTTTCTGACAAATCAATACTTACATTTATTTAGCGACGTAATATGCAACGTAATCACATGAGCATTAACATCATTCACTCGAGGACAATAACTATATAGGAGTATGTTAACCAGTTGTCAAATTAATAAACGAAACCAATAAAATTTAAATTAAGACCTAGTGCTATTCACATGCTTACCATTTTAAGTGCCTTGTTGTAGTGGTCATCTTGCATTCCTTGTCTCTGCCTCATGGAATTGTAATGCTTCCACGTCCTGGTTTCCACATCAAGCACCATGACAGTCCAATGGTTCGCATGGTAGATCAAAAAATGGGTACCCTCGTGCGGCTTTGGTGTGGTACGTGACAACGCACTTGCGTTCCTTATCATGTCCTACACGTGTTCAACACCAATACATATAAATTAAACATTAACGGGTGCAATTCACATTTTTTTTGATTGGGGGGGGGGGGGAATAATTTTTTTGAAATTTACAAATACATCCCGAACGCACGCTACTATACATGTATGATGAGTCTACATATTCGATTCTTTCACCCGCCCTCTTCGCTACTAGACACGTATGATGTTTACACAACATGAACAAATTAATCCAAACATGGGAACCCGACTGTTAAAATACCACAACAACACAAATGCAAGCACCGGCACACTAATATTGCATTTAATCAACATGGACACCAACAATGTTGCACCCTAACTAAAGAGAATGTCACTGCAATCACACATCACATACAAACTATACACACTAAAAACCATGGGATTCCTAGCCACATTCAAATAGAACAACACTTCCAACAAGGAACATACATCAATAACTTCACATAATACTTACAAACACACCATCGCACAAATACATAATAACCCAAACAGAAAAATAATTTCATTTAAGGCTTGGTACACTAGCAGAACTAATACCCCAAAAAGTAAAGGACACAACAAGACATTAACCCAAACCAATTCCAAATCCACATTACCTACTTACATATAACAACAGTACAAATGTTAATTAACATTATGTAAGCACCATCAATGCCAAACCCAATCTACAACGTTACTCATACAACTCAAAACATCAAACAAAGCGAATAAAACAACATCACGAACACATGCCTTCCGCCATGGGTTCATAACACAATCACTAACTAATGTGAAAGGCAATGTCAACTATAAACGGCAAATCAACTTTGTGTCAAACCCTAATTGGCTCCAGAAATGTACGTATACGAAGGGGTTTTTGTGTTTCTAGGGTTTGGGATGAAACACCAATGTTAAATTGGGTAACATAGACTATAAAATTAACGTTACTAAAATCAAATAATGCAACAATGGAGAACCCATTGTGGAATCAACATTGGAATACCAAAACCTTCCATCTTTGTCTTTTTTGTTTTGATGAGAATAATGGAAACCCAAAAAACCTATAGAAAGCTTTTTGGACAAATTTGTAAATTCCACATTACACAAACCCATATATACCCCTACTATTGGTACAACACACGCGTAATTGGTGTACAATTATGTCATTAACATTGAAATGGTACCTATGGATTCATCAAATAAAAGACGGGACTAAAAAATGGTTAGTAAGATCTAAACTTATGATTTATTGGTACTTTACCCAAAAAAAAAAAAAACTAAATAGCCAACTAAATAAAACGTTGACTTCTCAAACAAAGCCTAAAGCCTTGTTTGGGAACATGTTATTTTAGTAATTTTTTAGTTTTTTACGAAATGATGTGTAGGAAAGTAGAGAGAGTGATGTGACAACTTATAGTGACTTTTTGACTAAAATTGAAAGTTGCCAAACAAGGCCTAAATATGAATATCACACTACATAAATAAAATAAAGAAGAAGTTAACATTGGTCTCATAAACTTAGGACCTCTTATGGTGCACACCCCTCTAAGGGTGTGTAACATGTGCACCTATTATAATTGACATAATTTTATTTTAAATTTTCGTAATATCAATTATAAAATATGTTATTTCACTATAAATTAACGTAATAAAATGTTTAAAATTTTGTAATTCATATATCAAAAGTTTGTGACTTGATAAAAATTTATAATTTGGTTATAATTTTTTTTGTTACGTTAATTTGTAATAAAATTATATATTTTATGATTGTTATTATAAAATTTTATGATAAAATTATATCAATTTATAATAAATTACATATAAGATATACTTTTAAAAGGTGTGTACGATGGAATTTCCCCATACGCTTTTGTAATTCGAGGGATAGTTTGTTTGTAAGGCTACAATGAATTATTGGCACGACGACTAGACGCTAGGAAGTCAATATTGTCTTCGAGTTTTGTCCATTTCATATTTTTATGGGGAAATTACCCATAGGTCCCATGTGGAACATGTGGACACCATTTAATCCCATAATTTTTTGAGTACACCCAAAAGTCCTTTCCCCTCTCTCTCTGCTTTTTGCTTCCCTCTTTTCGCCTCCTCCTCTAGCCCTGATCTCAGTCCTAAAGTCAAACAAGAAGGCGATGAAGAACAAGAACAAGAAGACGATGAAGAACAAGAACAAGAAGACGCTCATCCTCAGATCTGTGCTTAGATTGAACAGATTTGTGTATATATCTTTGTCAATTTCTCTCTCTTTCTCTCTCTATTTACAGATTTTTTTTGGGATAGTTGTTGATCTATGGTTGTTGTTGTTGATGATGAAATAGATCTATAATATCATTGAAATAGATCTGTAATAACTCAGATTTGTACAGATATCACACAGATTTGTAATGAGAAAATTTTCGAATTCTGAACAAGTAATTTTCGAGTTTTAGTTACAGGCAGTGAAAACTGTAAAATTTTGCAGTTTCAAATTTTTTTTTTTGGTGCTGGAATGAATCATGGTTTAAAACTGTAAAATTTTGTAGTTTTATAACATTTTTTAGAACTGTAAAATTTTACAGTTTCATAACATGTTTTAAACATTCCGACGAGTTTCCGGCGATGTTGAACATTCCGACGAGTCTCCGGCGACCGTTTGACGGAAGTCCGACGGTAGTAAAATGTGAACAGTGTCTGTAAATTAAAAAAAAAAAATGGATTTTTTGGTAACAATTAAAAATGTATTGGACTAATTGGTGCAAGTATTTTGTTTTGGGATTAGCTAGGTTTTGAACTTAGTACATGGACTTATCAATAAGTTCCCCTATTTTTATTTGGGTCCCCATACTTTTGCATTTTTAACCTTTTCTTTTTGTGTGTTCAATCCAGGCCGGCCCTAAGTTTACGGGCCTACGGCGAAATAATTTTTCGGGACTTTTTTAGATATTTATAAAAAATAAAAATAAAAATCATTCTGTTTGGTTTAAAATTTTTAAAAATAATTATCTGAGTTTGCAATTTGTATTTTTTTTTATATTTTTTTTGTATTTGGAAACATTTTTTTTAAAAAAAATATATAAATATCATAGTTTTAAGCGTATCTAAATTAGATGTATCTACAAAATAAATAAATAAATAAAAATTGTGTAAAATATTTTTTTTAAAAAAATACTAAAAAACACATAATTGGGCCATAAAGAGAAAAAAAAATAAGCCACACAAAATTAGGCTAACGACTAATATATATACATATATTTTATATTTTATCTTTTTAATTGGACTAATAACTAAAACTTATAAATATTTTTTAATTGGGCTTTTTATCAATTAGGCCAAATAGATTTTTTGAAACCCCCTTTAAAATGGTCTAAATTAATTAAACAAAATTGAGCAATTTTAAAATTTTAATATAGTGCAAGACTAAATTTGGAGGCCTTTTTTTGGGCCTAATTTTTGGGACCCTAGGCACAGGCCTTACTAGCCTTAGCTCGGGCCGGCCCTAGTTCAATCTAAAAAAAAATAAATAAATAATAAAAATAAAAACTTTTCTTTTTGTGTGGAAATATATAAGAATATAAATTTTAAATTGGAATATAAGAATGTAATTAATCAGTGTCTATGTACGACCTGATTTCTTTTTCTCTTTTTTGTTACTCATTTTTTCTACGGCAAGTGGTACTCGTGGATGGTCTTTTTTTTTTTTTTGTTTTGATAAATTACACTAATATCTCTATATTTTTTAAATTACATTGTAAATGATATGCAGATAAAATTATATGTACTTACAAGATTTTTAATTTGCTATTACATATATAATCACTAAAATTAAATACGAAAATTTAGATCATGACAGGAAGAAATCATTATAAGAAAAAATACTCTTTTTTTGTAATTTATCAAAATCCAATTTACAATAAGAAAAACAAAATATCATCCAATCGATAAAAAAAAAAAAGGAGAAAAACATTAAATAAAATATAAAGTTATAATACCTACCAATTAAAAAAATAAGCTAACTAAAGTATGAGTTAAAAGTTGGGACCCTAGGCACAGGCCTTACTAGCCTTAGCTCGGGCCGGCCCTAGTTCAATCTAAAAAAAAATAAATAAATAATAAAAATAAAAACTTTTCTTTTTGTGTGGAAATATATAAGAATATAAATTTTAAATTGGAATATAAGAATGTAATTAATCAGTGTCTATGTACGACCTGATTTCTTTTTCTCTTTTTTGTTACTCATTTTTTCTACGGCAAGTGGTACTCGTGGATGGTCTTTTTTTTTTTTTTGTTTTGATAAATTACACTAATATCTCTATATTTTTTAAATTACATTGTAAATGATATGCAGATAAAATTATATGTACTTACAAGATTTTTAATTTGCTATTACATATATAATCACTAAAATTAAATACGAAAATTTAGATCATGACAGGAAGAAATCATTATAAGAAAAAATACTCTTTTTTTGTAATTTATCAAAATCCAATTTACAATAAGAAAAACAAAATATCATCCAATCGATAAAAAAAAAAAGGAGAAAAACATTAAATAAAATATAAAGTTATAATACCTACCAATTAAAAAAATAAGCTAACTAAAGTATGAGTTAAAAGTACATTTCTCACATTTTTTGGGGATCATGCAATATGTTTTATGTGAAAGTCAAATTTAATTTAACTTTATTAACAGAGAGAGCACCAAGGGCTCATAAGTTTTTTTTTTTTGGTGGGCTTCTTCTTAAGGTTGAGCGTACCCATTTAATATTGGGAAATCAGCCCATACACCATCATGAAGGGCCCTAAACTTAAGATAGTATTCATTGTTGGGCTAGCTCTCTCGGCTCAGTACTTCTCTATTATTATTACTATTTTTTTTTTTAAATTTCTTATTTAAACACATATTATAAGAACAAATTTCATTGTCAATTAAAATAAATGTAGTTAGTAATCACATCTTTACTACAACAGATCTGACTTATGACATATAAAACTTACCATTAAATACATAATACTAGTAGG